TTGAATGAAAAACACTTACAATTTTACCCAAAGAGTTTTCTCTCTCCATTTTAGATGCCAGATGGCGAGCACCATATATTGAGTCAGTGGGTCCCCACCGCACAAATGCCTCTTCACCATCAAAGAACCATAGCTCTAGACCTACATCCTTTACAAATGGGGAAGATAAATAATTTTGGATTTCTCGCCAAATAACAAAAAAGCAAAATCATAAGAAACTTACTGCTTTTTTTAGGGCTGGCAATTCACTTTGCAGAGCATGAGCTAAATTGATTAACATAGCACATGGGACAGCTGAGTCTGTAGCACCCAGAAATTCAATATTTCGATAATACTTGGAGTCATAATGGCACGATAAAACAAGCACTTGACGGGCTGAAGGATTAACTTTTGCAATAATATTCTCAAAACGGAGAGTGCCAAAGTTTGGTGTCTTTGCATCAAAAGGGTCTGTCTCTACTACCCAACCAAACTTTTGAACTTCACCAATAATGAACTGAAAGTTGACAATTCAGTTGAAACAAAAATTAATACAATGATGAAACAATGAAATGCCATATCAAAATACCTCACTCTCCCTCTCTCACACACCTCTTTCACTTTTTGATGAGATGGCGTCCCAACAACACGAGGAACCATTAAATTCTTCAGTACATAATCAAAATGGTCTTCACTCCCGTTTAGCGCTTTTGCCAAACGCTCATTGCTTCTGCCACTGCTAAACAGGGTCTAGAACAAAAAGTCAATTGATAAGGCAAGAGCCCTAATTGGAACAACAAACATTAAAAAGACAATCGAACTAATAATAGGAGAAGGAGAACAAGCAATCCAGTCAACAATCAGGAAAATTTCGAGAAATTTCACGTGCCAAGAGGAATGAATATCGCGACTACAAGCAATTCAAACAGATTGCGAGTCCACCTGCCTACACATGTCCTTGCGTCTAGTGGTCACGAGGCGTGCCGCGGTGCTTATTTGTTGCTTACCCTCTCCTGCTGCGAGGTCTGGGCGCCACAGAGGGCCAGCACCCCGAGGACGGACGCCAGGAGCGTCGTCGTGCCCTGCATGTTCCTGGTAAGCAGCCGGAGCCGGGCCGGGGAAATCCTCGCGCTCGCCCAGCGAACAAGCGGCGGCAACACGGCGACAGAGCAGACAGACACCCGCGAGCACCGGGGCGTCGACACACACTGACTGGGCTGGGCGGAGGTGGAACTGTTGCTCCTCGCAACGACAGCCGACCTCGCGGTTGGCCCGAGCCCAGCACGCCGCGGCAGGTACTGGTACCTGGTTCTGGTACAGGCCCTGGCCCGGCCGCACGCCTCTCCCACCTCCTCCTCCTCCTCTCACCTACACGGCCGCGCGCGCCCTCTCTCTGTATGCCTCTCCCACTCGTTCTTTCCCGAGAGAAAATCGGAGGGGCGCGCAGGGCGCGCAGCGTGCACGTGCAGCGTGCCCCTCTCCCTCTCTCCAGCACCGCGCACGGGGAGCGCGACGCGAGGCGACGGGCCGCGACCCGCGAGCGCGCCGGCTATGCAACCGGTCAAGTCGAGCGCTAACGTAACAGGCAGCACTGGCTGGGCAGGCCGGAGGCGGTGCTCGTCGTGTTGCCCGGACGGCCCGGACCCGGACAGCCTCCGCTCTGCAGCTGGGCCAGCCCAGCCCGGCACTCCCAGCAGGCTCTGCGACTAGCACTGGCTCCGTCTGCTCCGCCTGTGCCGAGGCCCGGGCCACGCCCCCGCGGCCCTGCGGGGCCAGGGCACTCGAGGGCACGGGGGAGGGGGCACCAGCCTCGGCACCAGCGGCGCCCACGGTCAGACCACAAGGCAGACAGGCCAACCCCCTCAGCCGCCCACGCCCCCCCAGCGCGCAGCCATGCCCTACCCCTACAGCGGATTCACGCGTGCAACTCGCACACAAAAATCCGCCGATGCCGCGCCACCAGCTGTGACTGTTGGGCTTCACTCAATCCGTCCTGACGATGACTCCTCCGGTATATGTAACCCGCTTAACGCCCGGGCAGTGCGGTGTGCCGCCCTGGAGCCCCTGCCGTGAGCTGGGGTTGCGGAAGCCAGCCACGGCCAGCCGTGCAAAGGCCAGGATGTTGTCGAGCTGGATCCGGTCCAGTGCGCGACAGGACCTTGCCCTTTCGGGCGTCACGGGCAACTTGTCCCGCGGGGACGAGACCAGGGCCGGGGCCTCGGCCGGGGCGGGGCGAGCAACTCCCCCGACAAAGGCTTGACCCCATTCCCGCCCTCCACCCCCGCGCAGTCGCGGCGGTCCTTTGCCTCGCCGAGGGCCGCGATGAGTGCGACAGAGATAGACGACAGACGCTACGCCCCACTTATCACAGAGTAGCTGACTCGGCCGTCAGCACGTCGCCGGCGGCAAACCGCTTAGCAGACGCCAGCAAAGGCGCGGAGGGAGTCGAGTCGGGGGCACGTGTGGCGGGGCGGGGCGGGCTTTGGAGTCGAAGCACTCGCCGGAAGAGGAGGGAAGCCGCCGCGGGGGTGGGACCAGCACGGGGCGAGATAAGGTTAGCGACGGTTTAGTACCGGGTGGGCGGGACACAAGAAGGGGAGGCAGCAAAGCCAGGGCGCGCCGGGGAGGAGAGGGCTGCAGTTTGATGAATTGGGGGGGGGGGGTAGAAACAACATTCAGGAAGAGATTGGAATGCGTTTCATTAAAAGAAGACAGATTTTTTGAAGAAGTTAGCACAATAGTTGTACAGTAAAGAAAATGTGAATCCTAAAGGAGGACAAGCGCCTAGCAGTTATGCAATGCAGCGCACGCGTCCTGGGCGGATGGCCTACCCTGAGGTCTGCAGGGGTTAGAAGGGCGAGAGAGAGAGAGAGTGATGGTAGAAGCAGAAGACGTGTGACTGCTTACAGGGAAGGTTTTCCGGTCATACAGTCATATTTTAATGGCGCTTTAAAATGTAGTTGTTTGCACCCCTAGATAAGGTGGTTTTAGCTGGTTTTAGCTGCCCGTAGGGGAAGTTGAAGGTCATTTTACGCGAATTTGATAAAAAAAATCCCTAAATTTATTGCTTTATTGCCATCTTTGCAAGCACATATCTCCGAAACCGTTTGTGCTACAGCGCCCAGATTTTGTTATCTTCCAGTGAGCACTTTTCATGAAAAATATTTGAACAAAATCAGGGGGGGTCCAGGGTCGTAACCTCCTCTCGGGACCCGTTTTTGCGACCATATTCGATTTCGTTCAAATTTTCTACAAGTAAAGAACGTGCCGAGTTATGATTTCCCTCAAAATCTGGGCGCTGTAGCTCAGACGGTTCTTGAGATATGTGCATGTAAAGTTGATAATCAAAGCCAAATCAGAGTAGAAGCGCCTGGCTGTTAGGCAACACAAGACCACGCCTCCTTGGCGCGTGGCCTACTCTGAGGGCGGCGGGGGTTCCCGAGCGCGCGCGGCGCGGCGCAGTGTAGAAAGGACATGAGGCGGGCGAAGGCTCCTCAGATTCTCCCGTAGCGCAGGTGAGCAAAGGGTTCCGGTATGGAGACCCCTGATCCTGCTTGTGAAAGCCGAGCCCAACCCCCC